TGCAGGGATTGGTGCTCAATTATTGTACGCCTAAGTACAACTATCAATGACTTTGAAAATCCTGGCACTTTAATGAAAACTTTAAAAAATAATACAATAAAATAAATTTTCATATTTCGGCACCCACGGAGGTTAAAGACCCTCTAGTCCCAGCATTAGGCTCTGATATATTTCCTGTGATATTGAGACCATAGATGTGGTTGTGGGGATGGAGCCAGACACCACCTTTCAAGTTGCATGCTCGGTGACTGAGCACTCCAATGGCATACTATTTAGTTTTAACAAGAGAATCCTACAGCACACTTGTATGCAATTCCCCTGTACCCAAAGCAAATTGCTGTATTGCCACATCCGGAACCTGTGATTTGAGTTCTGAAATCAAACAAAATGCACAATGAGAATTAGTCCAATGTTGAATGGAATGCAGTTGAGGACATCTCCATAGTTCTCTCAGTCCTAGCAAGCCTACCGAAAGGGAAAATCTGTGGGAAGTGTTGTTGGGAGGAGCTCGGCAATCCCCAAAAAAGCCTTTTGGGTTTTGTTTTTAATCAGACCCAGTGATGCAGGGGATACCATAGGGGATGCTGGACATCGAAGGTAGGCGGCATCTGTAAGGCGAGCACCCTCCCTGATGCACTGCTGTTCTGGTCCTAATTAGCTTCACTATGGGCTCACAGTCACAATTTAACATACACACAATAAAACAGTTTTTGGTGCACACAAGCTTACAGCAGGTAGGCATTTGCCTTGCATGAGACTGACAGGGGTTAATCCTTGAACACTGCCAAAAGTAACTTACGAGAACCACCAGGAATAACTGCTGAGCATCCCCAGGCCCCCCCAAAAAAGAAAACTAAATTTCTTCCCATATTCAAAAAACCATGGCAATGATCCAAAGGCAAAGATATGCATGGTGTCAGATTGACTAACCGGGGCCCAGAAAGGGCAGCTGACCCTTTAGGTGTACAGTCAGGCTAGTTATAAAGCCGCTAACACAAGGGCCTTGAAACACATGGACTACTCGACATCCCTGACAGACAAGGAAGAAAGACAACAAAGTCAAGAAAGCAAAGCACAGGATCCCTCCGTAATGAACAGTTCCGGGGAGAAGACACCCCTACCCCATGACACACCCCCACATCACATGTTCTAGGGATGAGAAAGGGACACTCAATATCCAATGAGCAACTCAAAGATGTTTTGGAATGGAGGACTCCTGGGTTGGCCACATCCAAGGCAAGCATCCTACTTTCTCTACTATTTCTCTGGCGATTTCTAAATAAATTCACGGAAACGGGAAAAAAATGGGAGAGCACTCACAAAGCTTTCAGGTTTAAGTTTCGGTCATACAATGAAACAGCGGTCCCTTCACCGTGCCCATTTTCCACCACTAAAAACCCAAGTATACTGCCATTCTACACCCTCCCCCTAACTGTGGGGCAGATAATTTCCACATTCTTAACTCTACTTTGATTACATCAATATTTTGACATGAGACTCACCATTATTATGTGGGATTTTACCCTAGCACTCAAATCTGGCAAAAACACAACAGAAGATAATTCTTTATCGATTGCTGGTTATAAATAACATGATTTTGGAATTCTGAAATTTTAACAACTAAATCTGGAGGGATTTCTGCCAAAACCTGCTGGGTTCCAAGATTTGTTCCTGAGTCTCTGGGATTATGGCCATTAAACAGCATTATCACGAGCCAGAGAGGCGGTTCGTGGTAATAACATAGGCTCTTGTTAGGGTGGGGAGGAATTGGGCGGCTCCACCCCATCCTGAGAGACCCCATGTATATTCGTGACTGTGGGCCCAAACCTGACTTTACAAAGGCCTTTGGAGGATGGAGGCCACCGACCCGCCAAGTGGGAGCAATTGGGGGGACAGCACCAATTACCCCTGGGGTGAAGCGGGGACAGTAACCTACTGCAGCGTCCAGACACATTTTTGCTAAAAGGCGCTGGGTTTCGAGACTTGTCTCTGAATCTCTGGGATCATGGCCATTACGCACCTTGATCACGAACCACTGAGGTCAATCGTGGGCACCAGACAACTCGGGGTTTTGTTGGGGTGGGAAAAAAAGGGCCGGCTCCACCACCATCCAGTTAGGCCCTGCATTTCTCCTCACAGCAGTCCCAAACCTAACCGTCCAGAAGCCATAAGAGATTGCGGCCACTGAGCCGCCAGGCACGAAACCTATTCCGACCTGAAATACCCAGCTTTGGTAACCTACTCCTGGGACCAGACACATTTCTGCTGAAAGCTGCTGGGTTCCAAGATTTGTTTCTGAGACTCTGGGATCATGGCCGAGTGATCAAGAGCCAGAGAATCCGTACATGGGCAGCGACTCGGGATCTCATTGAGGTGGGGAGGAAAGGGCAGAGTCCACCCCTATCACATTAGGCCCTGCATGTCTAGTCATTGCAGGCCCAAACCTGTCTGTCCAATGGAAGATGGTGGCCACCGAGCCACCAAGTGGGATCAGGCGGAGATACACACTCTTTCCCCCTTGTGGTGGTTCGTCGCTGGTAGCTCATTGCGGGAACCGGGCACATCTCTGCCAAAAGGTGCTGGGTTCCGAGATTTGTCTCTGAGTCTCTGGGATCATAACCTTTAAGGAGTTTCATCAGGAACCAGAGAGACTTTGCCTCCAATTATATAGCTGAGCCGGAAATGGTTTGTTGGTGTGTCTTACACATACCTAACTTTTGGCCGTTTACTTTCTTTGAAGACTTTGCCCAAAGATTTTGGAGTCTGGCCAAAGGCAGAGCAGCAATTTTGAGGTATCTGAAAGTCTGATGTTGCCATCAGGCTGCTGATGCACTCACCTTATCGGCACACATTGACCTGCTGGAAGCACCATACTCCCAGGAAGCAGAAATTCTATATATGTAAATAAAAACAATAGTGGGGTTGGACTCACTGTAAAGATAGTAGGATTCTTGCCTTGCTGATCCAGGTCAAACCTCCCTATCCCATAGGAACCCAGAAGCACCACAGAATAATTCCTGACCTGCAGAATCAGAAGTACACCTTGAGCTTCAAAGAGTCCCTTCCAACTCCCCTGAATAAAAAAACATATTATAATTAATATAAGAGGGGCTAAAGTGATAGCAGAGCGGGTAGTCCGTTTGACTTGCACGTGACCAACCCGGGTTTGAATCCCAGCAACAATATGGCCCCCTGAGCTTTACCAGGAGTAATGCCTTAGCGAATAAGCCAGGAATAACCCCATGTGCAACGCTGAGTGTGACCCAAAAAGAAAAAAAAATCCAAAGAGTAAATTTTCAGAGGCAAAATATCTCTCACTTGTCCAAACAAGACCCAAAGTCCCAACCCCAGAACGGAAGCCAATGAAAATGACCAACCGCAAAAGTCTCCCTTTCCTTTGAGGGCTGCCCGGGAACATATCTGGAGTTTCGATAAGTGTTATGTCCAGTCCAAAGGCTCCAAACAGGGTCCTTCGCACTCTCGCGTAGGGAGGAATGATATGGCCAAGACCCCCACTCTCTGCAGGCTCCTCAAACCAAAACCTGAAGTCCACGTGACCACCCACCAGTGCAATCTTGGACATGGATGCGATCGTGGCTGCAGGGGCCCTCAGGATAACGCACCCTCACCCATTACACCTGTGCCACAGAACAGTGTCCAATGCACACCTCAAAAGCTCCACATCCTCTAAAGCCTGGATATCCAGATCAAGTAAGAAACAAGCGTGAAAGCGCACTACAAGCTGGCGTGACCTGGCACTCAAGTTCGCACCGGGATTTTCAGGGCGCTCAAGCATTCCAAATCCTAACACAGGAAAGAATGAAGAATGAAGGTTTTCCTGTTTTTTTCATTTTCAAACTATTCAATGCTGCATCTTAGTTGATTCCTGCCATAATTCCCGCTAACCAGGCCCTCTGGGCCAAGCCAGAAGCATAGCAAACAACAAAAGAGTAGAGAGCCGTGACAGCTCTGAGCAGGGGCTGTTTCTGTACCTGTTTATTCAGTCACCTTCCTCCTTATTTTCATCACCAGAACCCATTATTTCCAAGTTAACACACAAGTAATTCCAAGCACTAGAATATTGGCATAGGTGTAGCCACGGTGAAAATCAGCAGATACCTTTCAATGACATAAGGAGAAGCCTGTCCCAAGCAGGCAGGCTTACTTCCCTCTTAACTGCACTTTTTTTTTTAACACCCTTGACCATCGTGTCCAAAGGAAATTTGCTTGACTGACTTGTCCTGTTCTGTCCTTAGAGACTGTTATTAAGGGATCAAACCATCCAGCATGAACATTTATATGTTTATTAAGGTGTGAGGGGTACATGAAGCCCTTCCCACATTCCTGACATATATGCAGTTTGTCTCCAGTATGAACTCTCACATACTGAGTAAGAGAACAGCACCAAATGAAGGACTTCCCAAAAGACTGACACTGATAAGGTTTCCCTCCACTGTGAATATTCCTGTACTTAGCAAGGATTCAGAACGGCAGAAGGGCTTCCCACATTCCTCGCATATAAAAGGTTTTTCTCCGGCGTGAATGCTCGTATGTACACTAAATCTGAGGCTTCTCAAAAGGCCTTTCCACATTTCTTACATGTATATGGTTTCTCTCCAGTGTATATTCTCCTATGTACATTAAGTATTGAGGACATACAGAGGCCATCCCACATTTCTTACATATACAATTTCTCTCCAGTGAATTCTCCTAAGTACTCTAAGGCTTGAGGCTTCAGCAAAGTAGGCCCCACATTCCTTACCTATATACAGTTTCTCTCCACTGTGAATTCTATGTACAGTCAATTGTGAGGATGAAGTAAAGGACTTTCCACACTCCAGACATATCTAAGACTTCTCTCCATTATGAATTCTCATGTGGAGAGTAAGGGTAGAGAACCGTGTGAATGCCTTCCCGCATGTCTGACACTGATGAGGTTTCCCTCTGAGATGAATTTTCATATGTGCAGTAAGTCTTGAGGCTCCAGCAAAGGCCTTTCCACATTCCTTACATATATATGGTTTCTCTCCAGTGTGAATTTTCCTACGTTCACGAAGTCTTGAGGCTCCAGCAAAGGCCTTCCCACATTCCTTACATATATACGGTTTCTCTCCAGTGTGAATTCTCCGCTGTACACTAAAGTTTGAGGATTCAGCAAAGGACTTCCCACATTCCTTACATATATACAGTTTCTCTCCAGTGTGAATTCTCCTATGTACAGTAAGTTTTGAGGATGTAGCAAAGGCCTTCCCACATTCCTTACATATATACGGTTTCTCTCCAGTGTGAATTCTGCTATGTACACTAAGGCTTGAGGCTTCAGCAAAGGACTTCCCACATTCCTTACATATAAATGGTTTCACTCCAGTGTGGATTTTCCTATGTACACTAAGTTTTGAAGCTACAGCAAAGGCCTTGCCACATTCCTTACATAAATACGGTTTCTCTCCAGTGTGAATTTTCCTATGTGCATTAAGTGTGGAGGCCCAAGCAAAGGTCTTTCCACATTCCTTACATAGATGCGGTTTCTATCCAGTGTGAATTCTTCTATGTACAGTAAGTTTTGAGTCTCTAGTAAAGGCCTTCACACATTCCTTACATATATATGATTTCTCTCCAGTGTGAATTCTTCTATGTACACCAAGTCTTGCGATTCAGCAAAGGCCTTCCCACATTCCTTACATATATATGGTTTCTCTCCAGTGTGAATTCTTCTATGTACAGTAAGTTTTGAGGCTCTAGTAAAGGCCTTCCCACATTCCTTACATATACAAGGTTTCTCTCCAGTGTGAATTCTCTTATGTACACTAAGACTTGAGGCTACAGCAAAGGTCTTCCCACATTCCTTACATACATACGGTTTCTCTCCAGTGTGAATTCTTCTATGTATCCTGAGGCCTGAGGATTGAGTAAAGGCCTTTCCACATTCCTTACATATATATGGTTTATCTCTACTGTGAATACTTCTATGTATACTGAGGCTTGAGGATCGAGTAAAGGCATTACCACACTCCTGACATATACAAGGCTTCTCTCCACTATGAGTTTTCCTATGTCTATTAAGACTAGAGGTGTGAATAAAGGCCTTCCCACATGTCTGACATTCATGAAGTTTCTCTCCTGTATGAATTCTTCTATGCATAATAAGATGTGATGATTGATCGAAGGCCTTCCCACATGCTTCACATGCAAAAGGTTTCGCTCCTGAATTTATATTCATATGGTCATGATGGAGCAACCCCTGACTCACACTTTGTTCTTGGGGCTGACGTTTCTGGAGATTCTGTCGACTGTGGTTTTCTAAGGGAACACCACAGTGCTGAGAACATGTGGAGTCTCCCACACATTCCTTAGACGTAGATGGGTTCTTCTCACGGTGACTGTCGTTGAAGGTATGTTGCTGTGAGGGACTCACTTTAAACAGTGCTCCTCTCCCTAGCAGCTGCCGCACTGGGGGATTTTGTGCCTCTGAACTGAGAATAACACACTCCAAGGAACTTTCTCCAGGAGAGGGCTTCTTCAGAGTGAGGTAGCCCTCGCCATTCTGATCACCCTCAGAAGACATCCCGCCTGTCTCGGCATCCTCATGGGGCTGAGGGCAGGATTGCTCACACGAGACATTATTGTACAGTGCAGGATCAGAGACATTCCACTTGGGGTGGCAGCTTTCCTGTAGAACAACAGAGAATTCTAATTATTGACTTATTCACTGAGACTTCCTGTCCAAAAACTGAGCCCTTCAGATGTGGTTTCACACATATGCACCGCACAAATTCAATTACTGACATATGAATAGTTTTACTATAGAATAACTACATGTTACTGTAAGTTGGATGCACAAAATTGATGGATGCAAAGTCAGTAAATTCTGTGATATCATCCCCTTTAAATTAATGAAGGAATACAACTGGAAACAATTCCTTCTATAGAAAGCGGACGCATCCATTTCAAGAGAAAGTGAAGTACAACCTCATGTGGGTTTTGTTAAAGTTTAGTGTGGAATCTGTGATGCAGGGGTGAAGACAACTCTGCATCATCACACAGCTGAGATAGACCACGTGGCCATTGCAAAGCTCTCACCACAAGTGATGACTTTCAGGATCAATGAAGTTTTCTTTTCTTTCTGTTTTGTAGTTTCTATTTATTGGGGGTTGGGTGGATGGAGGGGCACAGCATGCAGTATCTAGGATCAGTTCTGTGGGTATATGGTATCTATAAGGCGTGCTGGGTAAGGACCATCCATTCCTGTGCAAAGCAAGTATATTTCTCTCTACACCATCTCTAGGGCACACAAATTAGCTTTCTAAACAACTACCATTGTCAAGCAAATCAAAACTAACAGTATTTTTATACATGCTTGATTTCAGCACCTAACAAAGCTAAGGGTCCTCTACTCCAAGCATCAGGCTTTGGAATTCCTCCATGCCATTCTCAGGCTTCCACCTTAACAATCACATACTTGGTCCGCTCCTGCTGGCATAATAATATTTATTCTCAATTAGCGAATCTTACCAACTCACTCGTACTTGCTGACCCCACTCCCAAATCAAAGTGCTGTAATGCCAAATCCTGAAGTCGCCATTTCCGTTCTGAAACTGAACAAAACATGCAATTCAAGCACTTGTCAAAAAAATGTAGCAAAATGATGCCAAGTAGTTAAGAGTACATCTCTGTGGTTCTCAAAGTCCAAAGAGTCCCACACTAAACAAAATATTTGAATAGTGGAAAACTGTGAGGATCTTGGCAATTCTACACAAGGTTTTGTTTTTCAGCAGACCTGGTATTGTTCGGGGAACCAGGTTATTTAACAAATTATTGAACAGGTCACCTTCGGGCACTGCAAGACACTCCCTGCTGTACTATCGTTCAGATCCAAACTAGCTCTGTTATGGTCTTAATTATTCGAGAGCCATGGAAGCCAATTACAGGATCATTCTGTGACTGACAGTCCAGGGGAATGAAGAGCAGCGTGAGTATGGCACAGACCCAAGGATCCAGGAGACCAAGGTCCCGTTCTCAGCAGCGTATTTCATACATGCTCAGGGCACCCATACACTGCACAGGGCTTGAGCCAGGAAGAGTCCTCAGACACTCACCCGCACACACGCCTCTACTCCCCGACCTCAGGGCTCCTCCTTCCAGCCAGGAGATCACCGCAGGCTTCCTACCAGAGTGCCCTGCCCCGACAGAGACAGAGGCATGGATAAATGACATGGAAAAGGCGACAGGTAAATCCCCATGTTTTCCTAATATAACTGCGCAAATATCTGAAAGGCATGAACAGAATGCCCATTTCCATAATGCCACATATTTCTAGTTATTCGAGAGGTAAGACCCAAGAAAATTCCACAAATACTCTAGTCCGGGCCTTGTGGATGGCTGACAGGGGTTTGATCAGAACGGTATGTTGTTGGTTTTTGCCTTGTTTGGGGTCTCCCCTGGCAATGCTCCGGGGAGACTCCTGACTCTCTGTCAAGAAATCACCGCTGGTGGAGCTCGGGGATGACATGGGATGCCGGGGATTTAACCCACGTGCGCTCCTTGCAAGAAAATCACTTTCCTCCCTGTACTGTCCCTCTAGGCCCAGCAGCATATGGAGTTTCCTGAGCCCCTCATGAACTCGTCATGGATTTCAGTAACAATAAGTACATAATAAATCTTGAAATGGCCAAGGGTGGCAAGAGACCCTTATTTTTTTAAGCTGAAAAATGTATCAGAAAGAGAGCACAGCAGGAGTTTCTCACAGACAATCCAGTTGCAATACCCGATATCACCTAGGGTCCCTCATGCCAGCCAGGAGTGATCCCTGAGTGCAGAGTCCAGGAGCAAACCCTAAGTCCTGCTGAAGTCTCACAAGAACCATTAGAAATAAATCCAAGCACTGAAATAGGGCAGCACATAGGACAGAACCGATACACACATATGTGGGTTTGATCCCAGGCAGCACATAAGATCTTGGAGCAGGGCCAGGTGTGGATCCTGAATACACAGGCAGGAATAATCCCTAATCCCTATGGAAAAAAGAAAAAGCAAAAACCGTCTGTCTTGAGTGACTGGTGCAAAAGTACTGGGGGTGAGGTTTCAGTCCACGGTACCCCATGGCCCCTGAGACTCTTAGGAGTCATCCTTTAGCACAGCGCCAGGGGAAGTGTGAACTGTGCCCCCCAAACAAAGGCAACAGCAAACCAATTAAACACACAAAATTTCGTGTAGTACTCAAAGTAAATTGATGCACCATTGGATGGAACTATTTAAAGGACCTGAGCGATAACTGGGCAGATAGGGTTCTTCCCATGGACACAGTCGAAACGGGTTGATAGGAATCACCCCATAGGATCTGGCGACCCCACAAGAGTAATTCCTGAGGACAAGGCTGAGAGTAAGCCCTGAGTATCCACAGGTAAAGCCTAAAAAAAAAAAACAAAAAACAAAAAATGAGGGAGCGAACAGCTACTGCACAACTGTCCAACATCCCAGCCCGTCACAGAGCTACTGTTGAACACACAGCTGCCTCCCAACCCCAGGGAGCCCACCCGGGTCTGTTCAGACACGGTTGTCTCCACACTGCTCTCACCGACAGCCTGTAGATGCTGGTAGGTCTCCAGCATCACGTCCCTGTAGAGCTTCTTCTGAGAGGCCGCCAGGCATGACCATTCCTCCGGGGTGAAATTCACAGCCACGTCATGGAAGGTCACTGCGTTCTGAGTCAGCACGCAGAGAGGGTGGGAGTCAGATTCTATCTTAGCCTCATTGCCACTACTGTGAGGCCAGGAGCCAGGGTCCTATATTGTCGCTGGGCCTCTCCGCTCCGAATGAACCAGTCTCCATGCACATGCATTGTTGACGCGCCCCAGAAATCACATAAGGCAGCTGGATCTGCTAAAGTTGGAGGACGTTATACAGAAGGTTCTTGGATGTATCTAAATTTCCTGGTAACCCCAGGGCCAATTTGAGCACCACTGGTGCAGTGAGCACTGTAGAGAGGATCACTTGAACACAGAATTGTACTTTCCAAAAGACTATCGCTGAGTGTAGCAAAAACCACTGCACGCTCACCGCTGCACCCCCAGAGCTCATGACCAGTAGGATTGAGAACTTGGCAGTCCATATAGACAACTACTCACAGCGGTGCATGGCATGTGCGCATGTAGGAACTCACTGCTCAGTACCACCCCAAATCCCGCTCAAAGAAGGTAGAAGTTTCTGGACCCCAACAACTCTACTGGCCACAGAGATCCTTGGCTCTTTCTCCTTGGGATTGGTGCATGCCCAGAAATCCACACACAAGATTATGTGAACGTAAGACTATATGACCGAGCAGGTAGTCTCTCCAACGCAGGAAGGACAAAACAGGAGAAAAGCAAGTCTCGGGGCCCAAGTCACAGTAGTTGCCACGGCGAAAACGGGGCCAGCACACCCCAGGGTGCTCTGAGGCCAGTAAGCTTTGAATCCAGAGCCCAGAGTCAAGAGGACAGCTCATGACAAAAACAATGCAAAAGAAACCGAAGCAGCAGATTGGCGTAACAGGACAGCTGTTCCCGGGACAGCACGTAAGACTGCCGATCCCCAACATCCCATATGGTCCCACAAGCACTGCCAGGGGCAATGCCAGAATGCAGCGCAAGGAGTGATAGTGAGAATCCTTGCTCTGCCACCCCAAATAAAACAGAAAACCCAAGATGAAGCCTTTGGACCTCCAGCATCCCATCGGTCACCTAGACCTGTCAGGAATCAGCATTGAGCACTGAGCTTTGAGGACTCCTCATGCACCACTGGGTCAGCCCCAAAGCCAAATAAAACTAAACAAACATACACAAAAGCAGCTTCAAACAGCAGAATGGGATGGTCCGATCAAAGTCTCATCTTGGAATCCATCCAAAAGAAACTCAAAACAGAAGGCCGAGGAAGCCTGGGCACTCCTTTTACTATCTCATTTCATTCTCTCTGTCTACTCCTACCTGGGGACGGTTTACCAGAAGCCGCATCACCATCTTCTCCTGTCACTGTTGTTCTGAGGATCAGCAGGAGGCTCCGTGCAAAGACCTGGAAAGTCAGAACAGTGAGCACCAGAGAGGAGCACCCCCTCCCACTCCTGAGCTCAAACCAGCCACACCCTCCTGCACAGCCTCACAATTCCACCTCAGGGAGACAATGGCAGAAGTTCTTGTCTCCACTGGAGATGCAAATTTTGTTGGCATCTGTGCTGCACTTAAGGAGAGGAAGCTGGGCCCAAGCTACAGGGGAGGAAAAAACAGCCTTCTCTGATCCCCGGATTCCTCTATGGCTCCCACAGGAAAGTCCCTATAGGCCCTGCCAGGGGCCGACTCTTAGCCCAGGAGCTCCCAAATAGGCTGGAAGCAGTGCTGCCCTGTGGGAACCGTAGCCTGGCATGTGGCTCCACCATGTGACTTAGAGTGGGCAAACATTCGACACTCTCTTGCAGGGTGGACAAGGATATGCCCCTGGGCACTCTGTCCTGGGGACCTCAGTATTATCCACAAATGCAGATGTTGTCTGCTCAGGGAGAGATGAAGAGTCAGGGGTGCTTTGCAGCTTAATGTTAGGGAGCTGAAATTCATGAACCAGAAAAAGATACAGTGGTATTGTTGTTAGAAGGCAATAATGTGAGTTGGGTGCTTGACTAGATGAACCCATCAATCCTCTGCATCCCATATGGCCCCCAGTAGCTCCAGGGATAATACCTAAGCTTAGAGACTTGAGTAAGTCATGAGCATCTCTGTGTATGTACCCTCTCTGCCCTCCAAAATCTAAAGAACCAAAAATAGCCCCCCAAATACATTTTCATTGGCAAATCGCAGCCACCAGCATGTACCCTTCTCGATACCCAGCCTGACCCGGGCTCTCACGGCAAACAATGAAAATGACGAGCAACAGGTCTCCTGCCATTAGGTGGAGGGGCTGAAGCTCTGCCCCTCGAATCTGGAGATACTACAGAAGTGAGCTTAGGGCTGATGGTTCAAACATGGGAATGTTGGGAGGGTTGGTACGGCCAAGCCCCTAGCTGAGTCCCACATTCACCCACTGTTGCCCCATCCTGAGCTGCAGAGGATCGTGGCCAAAGAGGCACCCCAGAATCACGAACTCACAACTGTCACTCCTTAACCCTGAGACAGCCCCCACTGCACCCACAAAGCTCTGCCTCCCGCCAAAACTTCCATCACGCCTCACGATCCACCTGGATGTTGGCGAATAAGTGAAAAACCAGCGCAAAATTGCTCCCAAGTTGGCTCCCATATGTTCCCACAAGCACTGCCAAGGGCAATGCCAGAGTGCAGCACAAGGGGTGATAGCGAGAATTCTTGCTCTCTCACCCCAAATAAAACAGAGAACCCAAGATGAAACCTTTGGACCTCCAGCAACCCACTGGTCAACTAGACCTGTCAGGAATCAGCATTGAGCATTGAGCTTTGAGTACTACTCATGCACCACTGGGTCAGCCCCAAAGCCAAATAAAGCAAAACAAACATACACAAAAGCAGCTTCAAACAGCAGAACAGGACGGTCTGATCGGAAGTCACATCTTGGAATCCGTCCAAAAGAAACTCAAAACAGGTGGCCCAGGAAGCCTGGGCACTCCTGGTACTACCTCATGTTATTCTATCTGTCTACTCCTACCTGAGGACGGTTTATCAGAAGCCGTGTCACCATCTTCTCCTGTACCTGTTGTTCTAAGTATCAGCAGGAGGCTCCGTGCAAAGACCTGGAAAGTCAGAACAGTGAGCACCAGAGAGGAGCAGCTCCTCCCACTCCTGAGCTCAGGCCAGCCACACCCTCCCACACAGCCTCACAATTCCACCGCTGGGAGACAATGGCCTAAGCTCCTGTCTCCACTGGGGATGCAAATTTTGTTGGCATCTATGTTGCACTTCAGGAGAGGAGCTGGGCCCAGGCTACAGGGGAGGAAAAGACAGCCTTCTCCAATCCCTGGATTCCTTCGTGGCTCCCACAGGAAAGTCCCTATAGGCCCTGCCAGGGGCCGACTCTAAGCCCAGGAGCTCCCAAATAGGCCAGCAGCAGGGTTGCCCCGTGGGAACCGTAGCCTGGAATGTGGCTCCACCATGTGACTTAGAGTGGACAAATCTTCGACACTCTCTTGCAAGGTGGACAAGGATATGCACCTGGGCACTCTATCCACAAATGCAGGTGTTGTCTGCTCAGGGAGATAATGAGGAGTCAGGGGTGCTTTGCAGCTTGATGTTAGGGAGCTGAAATTCATGAACCAAAAAGATATACCGGCATTGTGGTTAGAAGGCAATAATGTGAGTTGGGTTCTTGACTAGATGAACTGATCAATCCTTGACATCCCATGTGGCCCCCAGTAGTGCCAGGGATAATACCTGAGCTTAGAGACTCGAGTAAGTCATGAGCATCTCTGTGTATGTGTCCCTCCCCACAAATCTAAAGAACCAAAAATAGTCCCCCAAATACATTTTCATTGGCCAATCGCAGCCACCAGCAAGTACCCTTCCCGAACCCAAGCCTGGCCCGCGCTCTCACGACAAACAATGAAAATGACCAGCAACAGGTCTCCTGCCATTAGTTGGAGGTGCTGAAGCTCTGACCCTCGAATCTGGAGATTCTACAGAAGCGAGTGTAGGGCTGATGGTTCAAACATGGGAGTGCTGGGAGGGTTGGGACGGTCAAGCCCCTGGCTGAGTCCCACATTCACCCACTGTTGCCCCATCCTGAGCTGCAGAGGATCGTGGCCAAAGAGGCACCCCAGAATCAAGAACTCACAACTGTCACTCCTGAACCATGAGACAGCCCCCACTGCACCCCCAAAGCTCTGCCTCTCCATAAAACCTCCATCACACCTCACGATCCACCTGGACGTTGGCGAACAAGGGAAAAACCAGCGCAAAATTGCCCCCAAGTTGGCTCGGCCCCTCGGCTCAGAGTGTGGAAACGGGAAGGCGCGGAGTGTTCACAGGAGGTTGCTCGAGTTCTGCAACTAAATCCTTCTTCAGAGTCCCCCTTCCAGGATGGGGCACACATTTACTTGTCCTTTGCCAAGTGAGCAACAGCCCCAGTGTCTGAGTCAGGGATGGAAAATGAACCATGACATTTATGACGTCACTTATGACATCACTTCCGTTTCCATTAGGTGCCTTAAAGAGCCAGAGTCTAGGCACTGAGAACCTTTTTGCCACCCAGGTGAATCTGTGCTGCAAGGGGGATGGACTCGAATAAAGGGGTGGAGAGGCAAATGCTGGACTGGTCGGTCACACACTGGGGCCGGGGGATAAGGAGAAGTCCCCTGATCCTGCATCGAACCAACATCGAACCAACGATATCTAAACACAAAATGTTACCCTGACACTTGTCAAATGATCCCTGAGCTCAGAGACAAGAGTAAACCCTGAGCACTGTAGGCTGTGGTGAAAAATATAACAAGAAAAAAGTCAAATTCTACCGAAGAGGGGGGGGGAAATGATGTAAAAAGACAAATTCGAGAATGAAACACTAAAAGAGTCAAATTTCTGGTCCTTAAAAATCCCCTATTATTGCGGCTGGAGAGACAGCACAGCGGGTAGTGTGTTTGCCTTGCACGCGACCAACCCAGGTTCGATTCCCAGCATCTCATATGGTCCCCTGAGCATTGCCAGTAGTAACTCCTGAGTGCAAAGCCAGGAGTAATCCCTGTGCATTGCCAGCTATGATCCAAAAGAGAAAAAAAATCCCCTATTTTTGATCTATCCCTGCTACAAAAACTCACAGTTTCTCCTAAATCCCTATTGTTTTTTCACCATTGTTCATGCATGTATATGTGTATATATAAGTGTGACTTTGTATGATTTTTGTTTCGGGGCTACAACCGGCAGATTTAGGGCTTACTCCTAGCTCTACACGCAGGAATCACTCTGGTTCAGACCATATGGGATACAGGGGATAGAACCTGGGTCGACTGCTTGGATGGTAAGTCCTAACCCACTGTACTATGGCTCCGGCCCTACGTAAATGTGCTCCTAGCACACCCAGTGGGATTCGTGAGCAAATGTCTTGACTCCTGGAAAACTAAAACTTTCTTGCTTAAAAAAAACAAAACCCTTTAGCTTGGTTGGATTCTAGTTCTAAACAATTTAGGTTTAACATTGGTTCATCATTTCTCCTCTGCTACAAGGAGCTGAGGCTTACTGAGTAACACCCATCCCAATAACTCCCATTTCCTTAGTATGCATCTTTAACTTCTTCCCCTATGCGATAATCACCCATTTCCCAGAACCACAACCTGTGATTTGTAAAGTCAGATTCTTCAGAGATCTCTGGGTTTTGTATTTGGAAGTGAAATGTTGAATTTCTCTTTCCTTTATATCCTCTTCAGTTTACTTTAGACAAATATCCCTTTTTGCTCCTGGACAAGGACCAGTGCAGTCCCAGGTTGGGAGGATTTTGCTGGGAGGATTGGGATGACCATGCCCCCAGCCCTCAGCTTTGTATAGACAAAGGAAGCCAATATTATGCTTTTGTAACTTCAGAGTTAATTGACTGCAGATAGTATATAGTCTTTGGGATTGTCATGTTCATGAGACTTAAGCCTCAACTGCTCTTTGTTCTTAGCACCCCAAAAGCAAGAGACTGGATGGACCCAGGAGAGCTGTAAGCTACCCTGGTATTGAAAAGGGACAGGGAAGAACCATAACAGAGGAGTGTCTGATCATTTACGCAGATATTTGGCAGAGGATATTCTCATTCACCCAAGGAGACACTCTGTCTCCCAGGGACATCTACGTTGCTTTTATCTTTTCCTCTAGTTGTATGAGTTATCAACACTTGTAGTTTGGATAAACACAGTAAGAGAGAAAGATTCCAACACTTACTTCTCTGGGCTTTGACAGTTAATAAGGCTTTTTTTTGGCTTTTTTTGGGTCACACCCGGTGGTTCAAGGGGTTACTCCTGTCTCTGTACTCAGGAGTTACTCCTGTTGTTGCTCAGGGGACCATATTGGATGCTGGGAATCAAACCCAGGTTGGCCGCGTGCAAGGCAAACACCCTAACCACTGTGCTATCTCTCTAGCCCCCAGAGCAAATGAGGCTTATAACACTTACTTCTCTGGGCTCTGAGAGCAAACAAGGCTTTTACTGTAAATCCCAGACTAAGTCTTTAGGCCAGTTCAGCTTGTCCTTCCCCATGGAGGTCCTGTCTCTAATGTTGTAACAGTCTGCATCAAAGCCATGAATAGTGCTTCCTAGAAAGTTCCATTTTGAAGCCAGGGTAATTTTCCACTTGCCCCGGGTCCATCCAAGTCCCACAGCAGAACCTCCCTTTTGGAGTGTTAGGAAGTACAGCAACTGAAGCCCGGGTCAAGTAATAATTACCAAGCAATTATACCCTGGAGAAGATGACTTGAGAGTCAATCAACTCCCAAATATTAGGAGTATAAGCATTGATGGTCTTTCTATGTTTAACCAAAGAACAGTGCTGTAGAGTAAAAACCTAAAAAAGCTATAGGCGAAACAGGAAAGCAGGTACAAATACACAGCACTTCAACTACAAAGCAGTACAAATATAAAGTTGAGAATTACCAGAAAGTTATGGTTTATAAGTAATCAAGACTGACCTGGGGAACTGAGACAACACGAGGGAAAATAAAAACGAAATGTTTAAGATAAACTTGAACTAAATTAGGGATGTTAGCAAGAACATGATAAGCTTCTCTGGGAGGAGGAAAAGGGTCAATTCAGAGATGAAGCCTAAGACTTAATCACTTAATCACTTAATCACTTAACTTCCCGTTAGTCGTCGATTTGCTCGAGCGGGCGCCAGTAACGTCTCCATTTGTCCCTGTCGCGTGCTAGTGTAGCCCAATGGCATCTCTTCGTTCCGGGAACATGGAGGGCCTCAAACCGATCGTTCATGACCTTGACAAAGAAGTCTGACCATCTGGTAGGTGGGCGGCCACGCGGTCTCTTGACATCCTGTGGAATCCAATCAGTAACAGCTCTAGTCCAACGGTCGTCTTTAAATCTCATTACGTGACCAGCCCATCTGATTTTTGACACCTTGGCAAATGAGACAGCGTCCCTGATCCTTGATCGTCGACGGATGTCAGAACTCCGGATTCGTTCTCTCATTTTAGTGAAACGTGATATTCCAAGCATAGCTCTTTCTATTCTTCTTTGGGAGACCTGAATGGCGTTCTCATCTTGTTTGCGTAGGGCCCAGGTCTCTGAGGCATATGTTAATGCAGGAAGAACAGTGGAATCAAAGAGATGTGCCCGGAGCCGGAGGTTCTTCGTCCTCTTAGCTATTTCTTCGACGTTCTTGAAGGCGTTCCAAGCCGCTCTCTTCCTCCTGCACAGCTCGGGTGCCAGGTCATTTGTCATGTTGACCTCTCGACCTAGGTACACATAGCTGTTGCATTCGGAGATGGTCGTTCCATTGAGAGCGAATGGGGCGTCAGGAATAAGGCTGTTTCTCATAAACATTGTCTTCGTAAGATTCAGCTGTAGTCCTACCTTTCCACACTCACGGTCAAAGTCGGCCAGCATTTGTGCCGCTTGGCTGATGTTTGGTGTTATTAAAACAATGTCATCAGCAAAGCGGAGGTGGTGTAGTTGCCGACCATCTATCTTCACTCCCATTCCTTCCCATTCCAGTCGTCGCATGATGTTCTCGAGGGTGGCACTGAAGAGTTTTGGTGAAATGGTATCACCCTGCCGCACCCCTCTCTTGACATCAACGATCACTTCTTTGTAGAATGGTGAGATCCTGGTAGTGAATCCGCAATACAGCTCACGGAGGATCCTGATGTATTGGGCTTGAATGCCCTGATTGGCTAGGGCTTCAATGACCGCTTCCGTCTCAACAGAATCAAAGGCCTTCTTTAAATCAATGAACGTTAAGCAGAGCGGCATCTTGAACTCCCGAGAAACCTCAATGAGCTTGGTTATCGTGTGGATATGGTCGATGGTGCTGAATCCTTTGCGGAACCCTGCTTGCTCACATGGTTGTCCTTCATCTAGTGTTCTGCCAATCCTATTCAGGATGACTCGAGTGAACAACTTGTAGATGACAGACAATAGGCAGATCGGGCGATAGTTGCCAATGTCATGGATGTCTCCCTTCTTGAATAGTAGTACGGTCCTGCTGGTTTTCCATTGAGATGGAACCTTGCATTCAGACAGGTAGCGAGTGAAGAGCCGAGCCAGTGTATTGATGAGTACTGACGGCAGGTTCTTCAGGTGTTCAGGTCTGACCTTGTCTGGGCCGGGTGCTGTTTGCTTCTTTACTGACGAA